TGAGACGTAATAAAGAATAACGAAAAAAAAAAAACACACACAAACTAATACACAAGGAGAAAAAAAAAAAAAAAAAACAAGGACAATGAAAAAGTTGATGGTGATGGAGCAAGGGAAACAATATTGGATATTGGTGTTGTAAATGAATAACAACAGCAACAACAACAACAAGAGAAAGGGATAATGTAAAATAATAAATACGCGATAATCACGAGCTTAATAGAAAACAGTGAGTGCGCATAGGGTCATATGAAAATAAGGACAGATATGCGCACATTCCATAACACACGACTTCCATTACTTGCTGCTTGCTGCTGCTAGCACTTCTCGTAGAATCATTACATATGCTATGTTCACCCCTTCCACTCTCTTCATCTGATTCTCTTTTGCAAAACTACTACTGCCTCTCTCTCTCTCTCTCTCTCTCTCTCTCTCATTTTTTCTTTTTTTTTTATTTCTCTCACTCTCAGCCTTTCTTCTTTCTCTTTTCGTGTTTCCCCCATTCCAAATTCATTTCACCAATCACACTTCCTTAACTGTTTTATTTTCCTTCATTTACTGAGCCTCACTTGCCATTCGGTCGTATTCAGCCCGTGCAAAGCGATCCCAATCCGTTTTTTCCGGCTTTAACCTTTGCTGATGTTCTGAGAAAGGATCACGATGCTCAAATAACATAAACTTGGGAGCATTAAACACCATATTAAAGAAGTTTGATGGTGTAGGACATGCACGAAGATCACTAAGTGTTATACCAATATCGCCATCTTTCATACGCCAAAATCCAAGCATATCCATCATTTGACACATCATATCAGCGTATGAAAGATCTCCATCCGGACTTTCCACATATTCTAGAAAACGTTGGTTATTTTCCTGATAAAATTCATAAAGTTCATAACCACTAAGAATACCGTCACCATCAACATCAAGGACTCTAAACCAGTAATACACAGCTGGATTACTATTTTTATCTTCTTCAGAAAGACAAAAGTAAACAAAGTCTTCAAAATCAAGTTTTCCTGGTTCACCTGAGGTTAATGGTCGTCCGGCACCCTCTACCACACGTTTTAATACAGACATACAAATAGATCCTTGACCATACTTGCACAAATCATCAAATCCAACAAGTTGATCACGATCTGTATCTAACTCCCAGAATTTACAGTACAATACATAGAAATGTTCATAAGAAAAGTACTGAAGTACCAGATTTACATCTTTTTCATCCACTTCTTGCATTACTTCAGGTAAATCGCTTCGATCAAAGTCAAACCAACTTATACGACCACTTTGTTGTCTTTCTAATGCGTACATAATACGGATAGCCACGGTGCGACAATAATACTCTTGAAATTCTGGTTGTTTAAGAAATTCTAGTCCAGGGTGGGAATCCACTAAATAACGTACGGTATCTTTAAAATCTTGAAGAGTCAAAAACTCAGATTTAGGATCGGTTCTAATCAATTCAAAGAGACGTCGGTTTACTGTAAGATAACCAAAAACATTATAATAAAATTTTGATATCTGGTCATAGGTAAGAGCTACCGATTCGGTAGTACCTGAAGCAAGAGCTATACGACGAAAAAGTGCGTCTTTCATCCATGTTGGTACTCTAAAAACATCTTGGCAAAGTTTTCCAAATTGACCTTTTCGCACAGTTTTAGTTGTGTCCATCGGTAAAGTAGATCCTGACAACACTTTTCGATTAACTGCGGAACCCTTGATAGCAAAGAAATTTTTTAACGCTTCTTCCTCTACTTCTGGTAAAGTTTTTCGTACACCTTTCGTATCTGCTGCACTATAGAAGATTGGAATATCATTAACAGTTGCACGTTTTACATTTTCTGGTGGCATTGAAGCAAAACTACCTGATGAGTGAACAAAACGCTGAGACTGTGTTATACTTCCTCCTAAATTAGATGTATCTAGCGTGTTAAACACTTCTCCTACCACCATAGCAGTATTAATACTTGTGTCAAAATTAGCACCACCGAGGGAGTGCGCCGCCGGGGGTGAAATAGTTCCGCTACTACTACTGCCAACGTGCGGAACAGGGGCCATTGGGTCCACGACAGGTCTTACATGATGCTGTGAGCTCGGTGAGGCAGCGGGACTGGAGCCGCCGGGTGATACTGCGCGGTGTGAGAAGTCCAACTCGTCGACGCCGAAGAAGCGGGCGGCCTGAACGGGGCTCGGGGTGTGAGAGACATCGTCGGGGCCGCGGCGGCGGGGGCGGCCGGGCGGGGAGGGGGGCGGGGAGGCGCTCCGCCCGTGAGGGTCGACGTGGTGGGCGGGGAACGGCTCTCCCGACCGCTGAGCCTGCGATTGCGATTGGGAGGACGGTTGATTGGAAGTGAGGAGACCATCCGCTGGGGCGCCGTTGGTGTGCCGCTGCTTCTGCGCCGCACTCAGTAGTTCCTCTACCGCCTTTTGGATCTCCAACATTCCCCCATCACTGGTCGCCCAGGTGACATATAGCTCAGAAAGAATCACCTTAACAGCCTGCGTGTTGCGCTGTTGGTAACTTAACGACGTCATCACAGAGAACGTCCACAGCAAATGACTACAATATTGTTGTTAACACAAAACGTCACACTCTTGGTTCGTCCAAAAAGCAATCGGTTTAACCAAAACTCTTCAAAACTTGCAGCGTTACTAATACACAGGTAAACACAGAGAAATACACTCACTCACACGCACACACACACACACTCTCTCTCTCTTTCTCTTTTTATTTATTTATTTCTACAGAAATACAACAGATTACGCTTCTCAACCTATCTTTTCGTTCTTGTTTTTCTTCTTTGATTACGTTGAATTTGTCTTGTTTTTTTTTTTTTTTTGCTTTTTTAACTCCACTCAGACGGTTTATCTGACTCTCTAAACTATTGCTGTTCCTTCTTTCGTCTTTTTTTTTTTTCGTTTTGAAATTTGCGTCGTCGTTTATATTTTACCTCCACTCAGAAGCAAATACCCACCAACAATCCCGAAAAAGGGAGGGAAGAAAGGAAACAGAAAACCAAGCCAATGAGGGGAAAAAGAAAAATAAAATAAAATAAAAGCGGATAATAAAGGAAAGCTATGAAAAGAAAAAAATTTCTTGAGACAGAAATACCTGAGTAAAACAGAAGATAATTCTGTACCCGTACCTCTGAACTGATTTAATTCTTTTCCTGTCGCTTTCCTTCCCCCACTTTATTTTTACTTTTTCCCTTTTTTTTTTCGTTCCCTGTTAATAAAACCTTCTTTAGACTCTTAATGCTCCTCTCCCTTACGATTTCTTATGTGTTTTCTCGTGTATATTTCCTTCTCTGAATCTAGATGTGATCGTATGCTCTATACGAAGAAAAGAAAGAAAATAAAAACAAAGAAATGAGGGAAACAAGTACTTATGGTCTCACCCTTGCTGGTGCACGGGAGTATGTGCTGCCGCTACTGCCTTTGCTATGTTATTCAGGCCAACCAACACAAGCGCTTTTGTCTCCTGTCGAAGAGAACCAGCCTCTAGGAGAAAACCCTAATACTCTATCCTTCGCTACGGTAATAAAAGAAAAAAAAAAGAATACAGAAACAGGACGTTTATGTTACCACTCTACAACACAGATAACGCATTCAGCTTATATTTTAGTCTTACAAGTTTCCACAAAGAACATTTCTAGAGATCTGAAAAAAAAAAAAAAAAAAACCACACACACACATATATATATATATAATACCTTTCTTTTTCTAATCCATTTGTTTACATCACAATTTCTTCCTTCATATATCTTGCATACACCGTCACAGCATCAGACTCAATGGGAAGTGAAAGATACACAAATTCAACTTTTTTTTTCTTTCTTTTGCTTTACCTTTCACGCTATTGTACAGCTACTGCAGCCTCAACATTACCTTCCTCAGCTGCTCTAGTCTCATTTTCGGCCGCTGCTTCCTTTGCATCTACCTCAGCTTGTTGTGCTGCTATCTTTGCAATTAAGAGGGCCTTCTCCACGTTGTCACCAGAAAAGGCATGAATTTTCTTCCCATATGAGTAGGCGAAGAAAAACGGGACTGACACTACCTCGAGAGATCGACACAGCTCCGCTGATTCTTCACCAGCGGTGATTACCACTATATTTTGAGTCGCTAACAAAGGTGGCCGTTCAGCGTTAAGCTTTTCCAAGAAGGGCATAACAGTACGTGAGCATCGATTACAAAATGGTGTTACAACGGCAACCAAACAGCTTCCGCGGAACTGCAACACCAAACTCTCAAACTCATCTTTTTTAGTTGCATAAAGAATAACAGGCGGCGGTGGTGGTGTGGCTTTTTTTTTAGATGATGAGCGCCTCTTCGGTGGCATGCTGAATTCTCGTCCTTTCCGCTCCTTGTACAGAAACAAACAAACGAAAAAAACAAAAAAAACGAAAGAAACGTACAGACACATAAAAAAGAGAAAAACAGAAACAATTTGATATACTGTTCTTGAGAAAGACTCATTAGGGTTAAACAAAACCATTCACGGAAAAATGGCGTAGCGAAAAAAAAAAAAAAAACTGTAAAAAAAATTCACAAATACTGACCCAGAAAAACAGGATTTGAGCAGTTCAGGCAATCAATAATGGAGAACCTGATATTTCTCAATACGCTCAAATATATATATATATAAATATAGATAGATAAATCACAAACAAGCAATAAAAAAAAAAAAAAAAACCAAGGAAAAACAAATCTCTTGTATCCGATTTAACCATATTTCCTTATTTCCCATAATTGATCAAATCACCTAAACACATCCAAAAAAAAAAAAAATTTAAATTTAAATTTGATTTCGCTAACAATATATCTTTTTTCCTTTTCACTCTTTTATTCATACTTATTTTTCTGCTTTGTACTTCATTCTTGAACAGTATTTTATTCTTCAGATTTGTCATTAAATTATTTACTTCATTGATTGCTTCTATGCGTGCATGCATGCACGCGTTAAGAGTTACGTTACTTCAGTGTGTCAAGTGCCTTCTTGAGAGATGCAATCAAGTCCTCCGCATCCTCAATACCACAAGACACCCTCACAAAACCGTCCGTGATGCCAACCTTCAAACGGTCTTCCTTTGTCATGTTTGCGTGTGTCATGACGGATGGACACGTGATAATACTCTCTGTGGCGCCGAGGTTCTCACAGAGGGACCACGGCCGCTGCACAGTGTCCATCAGTCGCCGCCCGGCAGCAGTTCCGCCACGGACCTCAAACCACAACATACCGCCATGGAGATTGCGGGCGTGTTGGCGATCGGCGAGAACTTTCTGTGGAAAGTTTGCGAGACCGGGATACACCACTCGCTCCACTGCGGGATGTGTTGAGAGGAATTCCGCTATCCGCTGAGCATTCTCGCTCTGCCTCGCCACACGTAACGACATGGTCTTCACCGTCTGTAACTGAAGATAAGCCACAAATGGGGACATAGCATTACCAAGAATATTTTGCGTCAATCGCACCTTTTCATCAAGATCTTTTCTCTTCGTAACCAATGCACCACCAACAGTCATATTATGTCCATCCACAAATTTAGTTGTGCTGATAAGTGTCACATCGGCACCATGGTCAAGTGCTGGCATAATAAATGCAGTTGCAAACGTATTATCACACATGTGAATAATACCCTTGCTCTTGCAAAACTTTGACAATTCACCAATGTCAATCAAAGTGAGTGTCGGATTAGCAGGAGACTCAGAAATGACCAACTTCGTGTTAGGTTTAACAGCTGCTTCAACATTCTTCAAATCGCGCATATCAACATAAGTAAATTCCATTCCTAGACGCGAAAAAAACACACGACAGGCACGGTTCGTTCCACCATAGCTGCAGTCCGTAACAATTGCATGATCACCAACACTCATAAACGAAGAAATAGCAGTAGTAGTAGCAGCCATACCTGTACTATACACAGTTGCAAAATCACCATGTTCAATAGAACAAAGCTTCTTTTCCAGGGCAACAACGGTTGGATTTGAAGTACGAGTATAACTATACCCTTTCTCTTGATACTTTTCAATAGATTCCTGTACAAACGTAGTACTCTGATACAATGGAGTCAAAATAGCACCAGTAACAGGATCCGGTTTCACACCACCATGAACGGCAAGAGTATCAAAACCTTGTGCCTGGTCAATCCATGAGCCAGAACCCTCTGTAAAATCAGAAATTAAATGCTGATGTGCAGACATAATACAAAAAAAAACAAAAACTTAAACTTGATTGGTAACTACGACAATAAAAACAAAAACAAGAAGAAACAAAACAAAAATAAAAATAAAACAAAAAAAATATACATGTTCATCTGCGTGTGTCAGTTCAAACTGTGCTTTATGTCCTTGTTTTAGCATCAGATGGGAGAGGGGCGCGGTGTGCGTGCGTGAATGTTAAGAGGGGGTATGTATAGATGTAGCAGACGCTTCTCAGAGTGGTGCATGATGTTGTCTCAATCAGTGACTCTTGATATTACTTTACCTGAATATCGTGTTTTGTACATCATTGGCGTCGCACAGGGTTGAGTTGGGGGTACTTCACAAAGGACCGTGGGGTGTCGTTGTTTCTCGTGCCTCTTGAACCTGCAGTACTGATGGGATCAACAGCTACTACATTACCTGAAGACACTTCTTTTTGTTCTGCACCTTGACGATGTGAAG